ACATGGTAATAATATGACGTTGGTGTGCCAATGACGGGGAGTCAATAACATCGACATGGTGGACTTTGGGAAACAGAAAATCACAAGACTTGGGAAGGACAATGATGCTGACAGACAAGCTGAAGCCATCTCCTAGAATCAGACTGTGAAGGGCCTCTTAGGTCAGGCTGAGGCGTTTAGTCCATGGGGAGCCATGTTTTATACAGAAGTCTAGCCTGCTAAGATGTGAGAGTTGGGGTTCACCATCGGAACATGAAGGATAGCTCAGGGGAGCAGATGAAGCAGGTCAGTCAGGGTGCTGGTGGCCCTGTGGCAGAGGATGAGACCAAGAAATGAAGGAAGAAGCAAGGTTATGGAGACGATGAAATGATTTGACAGTCATCTGTCACCCAGTTGATGTGGAGGGGGACGTGTAGAAAAATGTTCTAGTGTGGCTTTGTCTGTCGGTGGCAGGTACCTCTCCTAACAAGATGTGGGGCTATTTCCCAACAGTAGTTGCTTCTTTGATGATAACTGATGTGGTTTTAACCTGAGCAACACCCAGCATATCCTTGTTAACATCTTCAGAGAAAGAAAGTGATCACCTTACTCCTAGTTCCTGGCTAGACACCCAGCTCCTTGTAGACTGTTCTCCAAATGAATGTGTGGTGTAGCTACTGTCTTTCCACATGTGACAAAAGTCTGTGGCCAAGTAGTGGAAAAAAGACAATACCACCAGGCCTAACTTCCCCAAGAGCCTACCAAGGAAGGCATCTTAGCTCAAGAACACTACCTTGGATCCTCTTTAAATTCACTTTTCTACTTTTTTCTTTAAATCAAGGTATGAAGGTTGTATAGTTTTATGATTTTATAGATTTTAATGGACACATACTATTTGCATATCTTAATGAGGAACAGTGTTTAAATTTGATATATGCATATGATCTGCAAATGATCCCTCAAGATAAGTATCATGTTTGTATTTTGCAATCAGTGAAAGGAGATGCTGGGAGGAGTAGAGAGGGGATGCTGTGGCTATGCAGGGCTGCCTGGATAAGTGCAGCACAACAGCTCATAACCAGAGGATGTGGTTAATGGAGACTGGAGCTGTCACGTGCAGTGCTCTCCTCCTCATTCCCCATGGCAGAGAGAGCTGAGGAACTAGTCAGGGTTTGGATACCTTACTAGCTACAAATGGATATCTCAATGAAGCCTCTTCCTAGAAAAGGATAAAAAGCTGGTTTTAGGCTCTGCTCTAAGGGACCGAGGCATCTGGATAACCACAGTAGGGGAAATTTCTAGGGACCTGACAGAGACCTAGAAAGCTTAGCGGACCCTCACTTTAGAAGGAAAATCAGTGATGATCAATGCTCACTTCCTGATGGCTAATGATCAGAGGCACAAAGTGTCTACCTAAGTTTCTTTTTTTTTTTTAAAGAAAATATTCCTTTGCATTGGTTTGTTTTTCTTTTTCTTTCTTTCTTTTTTTTTTTTGGTGTGTGATAAACTAGAGTTAACAATCGTTTTCAATAAAAAAATGCTTCATTTAAAGGGAAGATTATGCAGGAACAATTATGTCACACTCCATTGCTATGAACCATGCTTATTTGAAAATGTGATGATAGATATCATGAGCCTAAATCAAGGACCACTTTTGCAGGACCAAGTTAAAAGACTGAGTTCAAACAACTTAAGTCTATAAATTATTACTGCATCTCGAAGATGAGAGAAGGATCTCACTTTATATATGGAGTAAAGAGTAAGTCAAAACTTAAAAGAATTATTGAGTAGATATGTGAGTTTGGTATTAATCTGATATTTGACTGACTTCTCTCATTTTGTCACCCTGGAAGCCTTGGCTGGGATTATACTTTTCAAAGAAATAGACTATATGTGAACTTTATGTGAAAAAAATTAAGGCCAATGGGTGTACATAGATCACTCTGCAGGGTTAAGAGAAGTTTTTGATCATTCTACTAGAAGTTTACAATACAGTTTGAAGGTGGCATCATGAAGACCACACCATGAGTCATGGTTCATTCATTTTTCTGTGAACTTATACTCAGAGCTGATCACATGCTATTAAAAATTATTGACTTGGCATGGAATGGTATGGCTACACAAGAAGTTACCTACTAATAAAATACACAGAGATTTTAGTTTCTAAAACTGCTACGTTGATTGCTATTTGGTGACGTTGCCTCTCCATATATACTTATTGCTATTAGAAAAAAAAGCATTTTTCTTACTTATATGGGATGGGTGAAATGGTCCCTCTGCTCAGCTCATGCAGGGCAGGTATACTTTATCTGAAACTGAGAAATGTCGATCTCTGATCCTTAACTTAGGATTGGGAAGAGGAACAGAGGAAGTCATCTGAATACTCAACTATGTTCTAGACACTTCTAATATCCTTACATGTGCTCCAGTTTAAACGTCACTGAGACACAACTTCATAGTGGAGGTAGGCAACAGGAGGAAACTGCCAGAGTTTGCAAAGTTTCAGTGGTAGGGCCATTGTTCTGACCACAGAAGCCCTCTTCTTTTGATTAGAATTTGCCACCTATACACCAAAATTGTGAATTCACTCTCATGGCCGGACTTGCACTTCCTTTGAAAGCTGAGGTTAGGGAAGATGGACAGAGTTCCTACATTAAGCAACCTAGGTTCCAGACTATCTGTAAACCAAAGGCAGGAAGGCTCCTTCCTCCAAAGTAGAAGGTGATTTAGATAGAACTCGTACTATGTGAAGAGGGCTGGACATGAAAATGTTCATCATACTTAGGCAACTGTCAAGAAGTGACTGAGAGAAATTAGGTATCCACAACATACCTACAAACTCAGTAGATACATTGTGCTGAGAATGAAGTTTAACTTCCCTGGGCCTAAATTTCTACCATTTTTTTTTCCTAGCATAAGGCAAATAAAAAAGATACAGGGTATTTTAAGTCATAAAACAACAGTATAAAAATATTTATACTTAGTACTTTGATTCTTTATATATGAGTATACAATAAGGCATTAAAGATGTTAATTCCTTCGCCTTGTTGGAACATAGTGGGAAGAGATATGTTTTCTTCCATAAATTTCTGTTCCTGAAAGTTCATTTGAAAGAAGAAGTTTAGAGAAAGATCCTTGGGTCTAATCGCCACTCCATTCTCTTTCTCATTTGTATTATTAAAAAAAGAGGTTGGTCATAATATTTTACAGCAATAACATCCTTTTCCTACAGCAGGTATGCTTTTAAGTTCAACCACAGTTAAATAGCGGTAACTAACCAGAGAGGTGCATCAGTCGCAGGATTGAGAGTATCAGCAAGACCTACAAATATGTACTGCCCAATCTAACAGCTTCCTAAACAAGCAGAAAGGTTTTCCCTTCATAGATATAAAGTTCTTCATCCCTACCACAAATTATTTTTAATGGATCATCTTTCTGAAGAGTATCCAGAATGAGACAATGCAACATGATGCCACTAAGATCAACTGATGCTCCATTTTCTTTTCCCAGTGTCTTAAGTATTTAGATTGCAAGCCAGCTTGCCTTCTCCCCAAATCCTTGACAGATTTATCTTTGACAATTTATCATTGGAGCAGAGAACAGAAACTTCTGCAGACTGGCTGGGAAAAATAGATGTCTTCCTTCTTAGCTTGCAGAACTGGCCTAGATGTATCACTCAAGAGTCCAAAACAACTCGAGAACAATAGGAATTATCTAGACTCTTTGTTTGAGTAGAAGCCAGTTTTCATTTCTCTACCTTCCTTTTCATTTCACTGCCTTCCTTTATGCAGCTCTTCTGCCTGACATGGCATGACTACTTAGATGGACAAGTCTCTCTTAAGTTACTGATACTTGTTGCTTACGGCTTTTAGTTTGGGCATGGGGTTGGCAAATCTACAGTATAAACTGAAGACAGGATCCACATTCTAACTTAAATATTCTCTCATCTTCTGATCTGATGCTTGGTCTGTTAACTGAATGATCAGTGGGTAAGTGCATTCACTATGGAGCTTCAGAACATTAAGTCTCTTGGATTTTAAGACTGCTTAGAAATGATGTTTGGGCCACTATTGTAAGTTGCCAGGAATCCTGTCTACATCAAAGGTTAACTTTGATGGAAAATCTCAGGTTATGCTCAAACTCCAAAGCAGTCTGACTTACTACTACATATCTTTTAAATGCTCTCCATCTATCTGAGATATTGAGAATGGTTGAAATATATAAAAATTACACACAAAGTATCTATTTGTTAAAATATGGCTTCATAAGATAAGGTTAATTTTAATAAAAAAAACACTGCCTTCACACTACGATGAATCTTATAATATGAGGAATATTCCATGCATAGGCCCCTCCCTGAGCAGTACGTTGGGCATCGTTTTGATTTTTTTTTTCAATAGAATGAAGAGAGTAAAGTCACTGCTCCTTAGCCTTCTTATAAAATGGTGTGCATGATGGAAAGTAAATTTAAAGACATTATAGGAAAGTTTAGCATAGATGTCTTTGAGGCTACTGTGGCCATTAAACCATTTGAACTATGATAGCTTTTCGTTTTTACTCTCTTAGGATTGCATAGAGTTGGCACAGTCATTGCCATTAATCTGAGAAAGTTTCTTGATGTCACTGCAGAATAGATCGAACAATCAGGATCCAAAAAGTGATTCAATGTTTCCCTTCGATGTCTTTGTGAATGGCAGTCTGGTGGCTGTGGAATGGAGCATCCTATTGCTTGATTTTGTGTTTCCTACAGCAAGGAGTGAAGTGGTAAACAGAGTCAGGAGGGAGGTGATTCAAGGATAGGTAACGTGGCAAAAGCAACAGAGACAAGATGGTCATGGGGTCCATGAAACACAGTCCTAGAGAGCATAGCTGTCAGGGCAAGACGAAAAGTGCTACTCTAACAGACTGGATGTTAGTCTGCAGAGCAACACACCCATGTCTCCACAGAGTAGCATTTTTATTGCAGTATGACTTTCTTGGGAAATGAACAATACTTTAAATAAATCACAATTACTTATTGCTTAGTATTTGAGATAATAAATTCTTTAGTTTATCAGTACCTCATGGCCTTCAAATGTGCATTCTTCAATTAGTCTCAGTTACATATATATTCTTTCTCCTGAACAATAAATTATTCTTTAAAAAATGGAAAAAAAAGAAAAAGGTACATAATTTTAAAGCAAAGAAAAACATATTTTAAACATTTATCTTAAACTTATATGAAAACAATTCTCTATGTTAGATGTTTAAATATAAATAATAAAGGACATTATGTTATTTACAATGTAATACAGTAAGTTTAGAGAGTAAAAACTAACATTAACTCATAATGACAGCAAATGACTTAAGAAAACTTCGAAGTACTATACAATGTGTATTTACAAAAGAATATATAATAGAAAAATTGTGATGTGTGGCCATTTCCTTTTGTCTGCATTTCTTCATAGTGTTTCATGGATCTTAGTGGATAGAAATCTCTGCAGCTGCTGGAATGCAGCCAGGACTAAAAGAAAAAAAACAGATCTTCCTTATTCACTAATAGGGGCCATATACCTTCAACCTCAGGCCAAAAGAGGAATAGATACAGAGAAAGTTACCCTGGATAGACTCCACCCATATTGACAGTCACACAGATACAAGAAAGACATGGCATATTGCTGCTTGAGATACATTCTCTCTTACATGGAGTACCATTTTATAGTAAGCAGAAGGCTGTCCACCAGGCACTCTTGAGGGTGGGAGGATGGACGGAGGGAAAAGCAGGACAGAAAGCAAATCTTGAGTAAGTACAAAAGGAGTTTGGTGTCTACTATACCCCACTATATAACTCAGTAGTTTTTGATTTAAGACCCAGGAGACATAGTTGTTATTAAATTCTTAGTAATCTGTACTCCCTTAAAATGCAAGGCATCTTCACACATGCCAGGAGCACAGGTGTGCATTCTTTTGCCCTGCTCTGTCTGGATTCATAAACAGGATGCTTGAGGGAGACCTGGCAGTGAAGCATTGTAGAGATATTACTGGACATATAAATCTAGAGGCTACAACAGGTAGCCATGACCAGCCACGTGGCTGTTCTCCTCAAGGAAAGCTTTGTTCTTCTCTTGGGGAAAAGGCTTTCTTAACTAACATGACAAGCATAGATTAAAGCACAGAAGAAAAAAAAATCACATATATTCACAATTTGAAAAGTTGTAGAGCTTCTCATGCCAGTAAAATGCTCCTTTTTTTAAAAAAAAAAAAATGTTTGTATCAGAGGAATCTGTTTTTCAGAAGAGAACTTTGTAATACCCTGGTGACTAACATATTTGAAACAGAATTTTTTTAGAGTTTTAAAATAACAATAAAGAAATTTCTTTATTGAGTGATTGGGTGGGTCACAGCAATATGAAGCAACTGAGAGAATATCCTCAAGGTTGCTGACCTCTCCTCCCTGTGGTGCATTGACCACTCTCTGCAACACTGGGAAGACAGTGTTAGGCTTCCACCAGCATGCATCCATTCCTCTGTGTGTTCTAACAATTCAAAATCACGTCAAGCACAGAGAACTGTCCTGTGGCCAATGGCAGGAAACAAGAGACTTCAAATACTGAGTAACTTCAAGGGCCCACAGTAAAGCTTCTCTTAGAAACATGGAGACGTGTAACACATGGACTTGTGGCCAGACTGCAGTGTTCTTCTAAGACCTCCTTGTGGGTTACTACTTCCCTTGACTTATAACAAAGCTCGGTAAAGAAAACAGATTTGGTTCAACTGGGACCAAGAATCAATGATTGCCATTGTCTTTGCCAATCCCCTGTTCAATTCTTTTCCATTTTGCTATGGAACTCCTAAGAGCCTACTTAGAAACTCAGGAAGCTCTGGTTTTGATTGACAGGCAGGGAATACAAAAGGTTCTGAAAGGTTATTCCCTGCCCCTTCCACCCCACCCCCACACACACTTTTCTACTCTCCCACCTTCCGGATTAGCAGTTGTTCATATGTTAATATCTATAAGTGTCCATTGGCTTTCCAGTCACAAGAGAACACACAAAGTTTAAACCAATCTTAGTCCTGCTTTAGAGATAGTATAGGAAAAATTACTTAGAGAAGAGAAATGGAAGATACAGGCTATTTATGGAGACAGATCAGTTCATGAGCAAGGGGGTCATTTCTGCAAGAAAAGCTGCAATCTTCCCAATGCTATTGACATTCCCTAGTGAGGCACCACTATGGAAAGTTCTTGCTAATCACAAATCACATGCACATCGGCCATTCCTGGCCAAAAAAAAAAAAAAAAGTATTCATGCATAGTTATGATCTAATCAAGGCAATGTTGAACACAAGAAAAACATAATGGGGGAGAAAGGAGTGGCCAACCTAACCAAGTTAAGATGTCAACTGGGTAGTGCAGCTGCGTTCCCCTTGTGACTTCTACACACTCACTCCTAAATACTCTACCAGTGGAACATTTTCCTACAATGGCCAAGTCACTGCTATGCACCACAGGCACATTGTACAATATTGTTGGGGCAGATGGCTGAATGTACTCTAGGGTACATGACACAATGTGCCTCTTCTGGAGCCAAGAAGAGGGTACAACCAGTCAGTTAAAAAATATGTCGGAAAGGATTGCACCTTTAGCAGCTGTGGTTGGTTGGTCAAACAGATGAGCTTTTGAATCATTTCTTCCAAGACAGAAAGTGAAACTGAGTCCTTTCTAAGTTGATAGATTATCCTGATAACAAGCCAGAACCCATTTTTTTTTCTAAGCTGTACTCAAAGTTGTTACTCTTTGTCAAGAACAATAACCAAAAAGTTAAAATTAAAGTCAATGGTAGCTCCTTTTAGCAAGAGCAAGCTGTCTTCTGATTTAATAATATAGTTTGTTTTTAAAATCACAGTATTACGTTCTTCCTAATATTTAACATTACTTAGGTGCAGTTTCCTGCTATATGTAATAGTAGCATGCTGTTGGGTCTACTATTATCTCAGAGTCCAGTGAAGCAAACCTTTGGCTGACAGAGTAGAGAGAACTCATTTCATACTGGGAAAGCAAAGAAAACTTCATACAAAGTAGAAGGGTATTTGGATGGATGTGCCATTTCAAGACAGTACTGGTTGGGTGCTACTGGAAGCAAAGAGACGGACAGCTGCTAGCCTTGCAAACCATACATCCAGTCAACATCATAATGCAATGCACAAAAAGCCAGCAAAAACTGAATATATGGGAGGTTTTGCTGAAATACTGTGAAAAAGCAATCACCGTAACTTTATAAAACTTGCTCTCGACATAACATAACATAAAGGCACCATTGATATCTTTCTCGTTTTTGAAATACTGTAAAAAATTGCTACATATGGCACATAACACATTTTTACATACATATATTTAATTTATAAAAGTTTTTTTTTCTTCCTGTTTTCTATTTGCAGAACTGCTAAAATAAAATAAATTGTTTAATTTAAGGTGAAATACTTTATTATATAAAATAAAGTTTTACAGGTGAATCTATGTGTTTATTTAGGTTTTATACAGCAATAGGGTCTTGGTTAGCGATTACACTAGACAGCCTGGCCTGTAATTCTTCCTGTGTGGAGAAGCGGCCTGCTGGGTTAGTCCTGCTCTCAGCCAGACGGAAGGCAGGGGCTGCCTCAAGGCTGGCTGCCAGGGGGTTCTGTATGCCCAGGAATGGTGTATCTTCACCTACTCTTTCATCTTCTGTCTCACTTTCTGAGTTACTGCTCACAGAACTTGGGTTGCTGTCCATTTCCAACCTATTGGCAATGTGGCCATTGGGCTTGGTTCTTTTGGCCCGCCGGCTATTGGTGACTTTCTTAATAGGCTCTTGAACTGGCTCATACTCCTGGGTCGTTTCGTACTCCTCATCCTCCACTATCCTTAACGGACTAGGGGGGAGGCTGGTACTCTGGTGTGCAGGGTTGTGATGAAAGGTGTTGATTTGCTGCGGGTGATGATCATACTTCTTCTCCCGTAGCCTTGGCGGTGTCACAAGAAGCAGAGGTCTCTCTTCTTCCACGAAGGGGCTGACTGCCACAGAGGGCATGGACACCGTCATGCTGGACACAGGTGGAGACATTTCCGAAGGGGGTGATTTAGGGGAGCTTGGCGTGTGGAAATCTACAGGTGACATACGAGCCGGGGTGGTCATGGCTGATACATACCTGTGTGAGCACAGAATACCCCGCATGAGTGTGGTGGCTTAAGAGGGCACAGAACAGGGAGGGGATAGGGGCGGAGTTCACCAAGAGATATAGTCAGAGAACAGTCATCATTGAATACTTAAGTTTTACACTAGGAAGTTGAGCACCCTTGGGTCCTATCCTTATAGAGCCAAGAGTTTCCTTATACAAATCATGCAAAGATTGGCTAAATCATCTAGCTTATTAAAGCTTTTTGGGAGTTTCAGTCTCGTCATGGATTTAAATAAAAGTATGTGAACCAAGACAAGGGGGGTTCCCAAGAACATCTCAGTTTATAAAGACCAAGGCTTGGGGACTTAGAAGGGAAAGAAGTATTCTTAAATACTATACCTTCCTAAAGGCCAAGGGGTCTTAGAGAATGAAGCCCAAATGGGGAATGGAAGAGGATCTAAGATGAGTTGCTGACAGCTGGATCTGCATGCATTTGGATCTGTAAGCCTTGTTTCTCCTTAGCTCAGCTATAAGGTTATGTCTTATGAAAAAAAAAGAGCATAGTAACTTAAAAATTACAGTGTAATACATTTGTGTGCTTTTAAGTTGAAATTTTCATGAAATGCTACTAGATAACATTCAATTTGCAACTGTCCATTTCAGAGTGTAACACATCCGAAGGCAAGCCCGAGAGGAACCATAATTTGGTTTCGTGTCACCACAGTGGGCACTGACTCCAGTCTCCCATGTATTTCTCATCCAAATCCCAACACTGCTTTTGGTTTCCTTCTGGAAATACTCAAAAAGATCCTCACAAGTGCCTAGCAAGCTTCTGTGTATACACAAGGGTTTGGTGTACCATGGTATCTCATGCCATGCTATGTTGGATAATGCCACCGTTACAGTCCAGATACTGTGTGTCTGTTTTGGAGCACCGTGCCTTCCCTAGAACAGGCAGGCACGTCCTCTGGGCCGAGTCTGAGTCATATTCTTCATCTTTTGATAATGACACTCACAGTGCACAGCAACTGAGTGTCTCTTCCTGACAGGGACATTCACAGTCTAATTTGATGTGACCTGTGATGACCCAGGATACTGCTCTCTGCACTGGAGCTAATGAGAAAGAGGAAGCCTATTAATTCTCCCACTTTTCCATGATTCATAGTGATATGGAAGTGAGATCCACCTGTGTTTAAAATTGGAAAAAGTGTCTTGGAATTTGAAACATTTGGGGCCCAAGTCTGCAGACATCTTTTGAGGGTACCTAAATTAGACCTTCTGAGAAATGTTAGTCACAGTTCAACCAACACGTAACGAGTGATTCATCATTTTTCTCCCAAGATCTTTCAGTTTAAGACTGTTTTATAACTCTAGATAGTATCTGGGTGATGCCTGGATGCCTACGTTAGCAGACAGAATCCTCAAAACCAAGCCACGGTAATGAAAAGAAACTTCATCCTAACCTTCTCTGCATGTTTTAAGGGGGTGAATAGGAACGGACAGACTTCAATATACAAAAATAGAATTCCACAAGGTTGATGTTCTAAGCCATTTTTAGACCATATTCTTCCACAGATGTGTTTATAAAGAGAATACTAAATTCATAAATACTATCCTGTTCTGAAACTGCCTTGGGGACAAGGTGATCAACAGGCTCTTTGATCTGAAAGCCCCCAATGAATTCTTTGCTGTACTTTCAGATCTATAAGTGAGAAGTTCTTTGAAATCACCTCCACCCAGGTAACTGCGAAAAGTACATATGGACTTAGCATTATATTGACCCTTTATTCAATGAAAATAGGCTAAACTGATATAACAATAAGGAAATCAACAAACTGGATTGGAAAATCAATAGGTAACAGCCTGCAGATAGGCTAAATGGTCAGCTGGCCATGACTTTCATTCAGCATAGGTGAAAATGGATAAAGAGAACGTCCAAGTTCAATATTCCTCCTTAGTACTTTTTCCAGTTTACTCTCTTCTGTCCTTTAGTTTGTCTCTGCCATCACTTCTCCAGCCCAAATTGGACTTCCCCCAAAAGGAAATGCAAACATCCTGGAATTGATGGTAATATCAGAGACAATATCTGCTTTGAAAATCATCTATGAAGGCTGCCAGGCTCATCACACAATACCTTTATTTTACCCAGGAGTTCTAGATATTTCATAAATGAATACAGTGTGGCAGAACACAAAGAGGTGTACCCTCATGACCATCACCAATGTCATAGCCCCTGATTTAACTGAGGCTAGAGGTAGGGTAGTTAGAGCACGAGAAGACAAAGGTAGAACAACCATCGAGGTAGAGAATGGACAACTGGCCAATTGGAATTGGATGAGGGCCCTTAAAATGGTACACCTGAAGAAAGGAAGACCCCATGAGTCTGAACCTAGGGTCAGGTCTGAGAACTCCAAGTTGGCTGTACCTTCCATATTACATTACTCCTGCTCTTTAGGAGTTGATTGCCTGTCAGCCACTGGGATGGTGGGAGAAGCTTGGTAGGAAGGAATTCAGCCAAATAAGAGGATGACTTCATCAACTAGAAGCATCAGGGAATTGATGACGCCCCTTATATAAGGATGAATTTCCTTAGGAGAGATGGCAGGTGCTCATAGAATTCTCTCACTGAATGAGGATCTCCTCCAGGATAGCTTTGCCCTTCGGTTTTACCTTTCACTATGAGGAGAGTCTCTGTAGGAATCAGGGGTTTCTCTGGCATGCCTGAGGAAGCTGTTACATTCTCGAGGGCCTCCCAGGCCATGAAGACGTCCTCGTGGGCCTCCAGCTGGACTGCTATGCCTGCTGTTCTCTACTGATGACATCATGATTACAGAGTGGCTTTCTGAAATGATGCTTTCCGTGTGCCCATTACTCCAGCTGGGTAGAGAAGAAACGTAAGAGGCAGTGAGACGGATTGGCTTAATTATATGTGGAAAATGGCAAAGAACAAAACTCTGGCAAGTATTTCAAGGGACTGATACATCAGCAGCCCGGAAATGATACAAAGATCTTTGCTGTAAAGAGACTCTTGATTCAGATTGGACTTGTGACCACGTAGTTTATTAATTTGGTCATTCATTCCATAACTATTTATCAAATGACACGATGTAGTATTAGTACAGATTCACGGTGCTTGAGTGGCTTGGGCTATACAAAGATACTGCTGTGTGCATTATGTCCGAAAGTCTGCTGCTGTGCTTGGTAGAGTGAGCATAGGCAGCATGACATCACAGCTAGGGTATCAAAGAACGGAGTACTTAGCTATGTCTGCATTTCCAGGGGCTACTTCCCCGGGCAGTCTAAGCTTTAGAAACAAACTTCTAAGTATTACATAGAATCTAGACAGATTTTTTTTTTCCTGCAGTGAGTAGCAATTCAGTAAATAGCATGGCACAAATCAAGGCAATTTCTAGACCCAGGAACAGCAAGGCTACAAGGTAATAATTATTAACCACTTTTTATTGTTTGTAATGGAAACACTAGGCTTAGGCTTACAAGGTACAGGGAGTTTTTATAAAAAATCTATTAACGTTCGCTGTCCATTTTACTACTTTCAATTGTCTCCTTTGCTTTTTTGTTAGAAATGGATAGAAAAGGGCAATGAACAAAATTCTGCTCAGGACATTTTTTTCCCTTCTGAGATTTTTTTTCCGCCCCCTCATACCTGTGACTAGGCGTCTGGGTGACAGTCGTGGAGTGATGGGCTGTAGAAGTGTAGCGACTGGTTGAAAAGGAGGTCTCCACTTCTCTCTCAACAATATGCTCACTGGAGATGACGTTTTTCGATACATATTGCTGGGTAAACAAAGAGACGGACTGTGAGAGTTCATGTAAGTCAAAACGTGAATACACTAATTAGTTCTCATACATATGCTCAGGCTATCTCTTGCAGCTGGCCAGATGGTGAGCCTGTTGCTGGCCACTCTGGCTTTGAGATTAGATACATGGCATGAACAAATTCCTTTCTGAATGTTTGTACACAGCAGGTCCTAAAATCTGAACTTCATTTCTCTCGGTTCCAACTGATAACAGAAATGTCTCAAACATTCTGTCCAGTATTATTTTTGTCTGCATTCCTTCAGGTCAAGGAAACTAACTTGATATCCAAGGGGTGGGAATGTACATATAGTCTGATTTTATTTCAAATTTCATGTCACTAGAAAAATGTGAACTTTAGTATTTTAAATTTTTTTAATTTCTAAATCCCTATTCTGGCCTTACGGGTATTGCTGAAGATTTTAACTTGCTCAGTGCTATTTCAAGGACTTAAAATATTTTTAAGGTCTGAACAAAGCCCAGGGATTTATCTTTAGTGAGTCAATTTTACTTTCATCAGCATAACACAGTAGCTACTTACTGCCTGCTAAATGATGATGTTTCTAAAGTTCCTTTTAAATTGTTGCAGGTGCCCTTTTTATTTCTAAAAATCTGAGTGAAATAAGCTAAACCATGAGAAAAAAAATAGACAGAAATATGTCAGGTAGGATACTTCAATGTCTGCTGAGATGTAGGCTGTAAAGAACTTGATTGTCATGAAGGCCCTAAACATACAACGTGAACTTTGCAGACTGGATCTTCCTGTTGATGGAAATAGTTTCCCTTCTGGATCTTTCTGGGGACACCTGTTGCATTGCTGCCACTTTGGTATCCATGCTACCCTTGCCTTCCAGAAGCACCTTGAACCCAGTGGGTCTAATGAAAATACTATTTAATTTAACAATGATTAAGAACTTCCCGAGTGTTTATTTTAGTGAGGTCGGCATTAATTTTAGGCCGAATGAAATTAAGAAATAACATTGAAATGAGTTATTTGTGCCATAATTGCAATCCAGTCAGGGTCCTGTTAATATTATATATTACATTGTATATGATAATATATCACATTATCTATAACATATACACATTATATTATATATAATACATATTAAATATTATAGTTGTTTTGGAAATGAATGGTTTTATTGACCATGGAAAACATTCTAATGAACCCCATTATTGGGAGGGAATCAAAAGCTCCCTATTACCCCTTGACTCTAACATTCTCCCAAAAGTCCATGTTATGAGACTTGAGAGTACAGTAGTAACCACCAGCCTCTGACGTGAATCTATGACCAATCTTCTTCACCCAAGGTATACCTTCTATTATAGGATAGAAAATGGTACTACAAATTTCAAACTATGTCTATTGAGAAAACTACACATTCCAAGGGAACAAATGGGGATTGTGCTGGAACATGAAGATCAACACTTCAGAACTACGAGCACTGGTAAGAGCACTGGGCCTGATCTTTTAATATGAGAAAGAATTCAGTGATGGTATGAGCACAGTCTCAGGGAGTAGGCTGTCTAGTCAAATTTAGACGCTATGTGTACAGTACAATAAAAACAAAATACATGAATGACTGAGGGTACCTTTCATGTGGAGGCTACGGCACCACATAGAAGGAGCTGGGAAATACTTAAGTACTACATTCTCCTAGCTTTGCTCCAAGTTTCCCACCTTTTCATGTTCCATAGAAATCAGAATCAGAAAATCACATGCTCCAAGGAGGGACCCTAAGAAAAACATTTCAAAGCCCTTTGCTTGGTTTGCTCTGAGTCAGTGGTATATTGTAGTAGCCTTCATTCCCAAATGACTAAAAATAAATATTCCTTCCAATTCTGATTTTATTATTTATGATTTATGCTGTTTTCTTGTCTTTCTAGGTATTCCTGCAGGACAAACCAAGCATCATCCCAGTGTCTTAAATGCCACAGTGTAAGGAAACGTGCTAATAGCCAGATCCATTGTAAAACAGCTGTCACTGTTTCCTCCTGACCAAATCTTGGGTTTCTGGAAGGCCACTGTGCTAAGTGGCAGCTGGTAAGGAGCCTAAGATTAGAAAACCCCACTTCAGTGTGTCTGAACAGCAAACACATGCTTGGTTTTCTCAGTGGGTCAGTCAACATACATTCACCAGCTGCACGTTCTCTGGTGGTGGGTTTGGGTGGTGAGGCCCGTTCGCGATGTTCACCATGTTGTTTCGTTCTGACCGAAGGCTCTGCCGAAGCCGATCATGAAGCTTCTGCCGCTGTTTCCTGGATGTGAAAAAAAGGGAGCATATGTTTGTTCCTCATTCTTTTTTTCTACAGCCAAATCTTTATTCTATTAACACTAATGAATAGCTTGAGTTACTCAATCAGTGATGATCATGGGTGAAGGGAAGTATGTAACACTCTGTCTCAGAATTAGCAGTATCACACATCCCGAGAAAGCAGGTTTTAATAGTTAGATGGAATTCTTACAGAAATATGGCTAATTGTACTGAAGGAGAACAAAAAGGGAAAAACAAACAAACAAACAAAAAAACCTAAAAAAACCAAATGCATTAGTAATTGGCTAACCTCTCAAACTTCTTTGTCTAAGTCATACAGATAGCCATTGGTCGCTACATGCTTTGTACTATGGGATCAACGAGGCTGATTCCGTTCATAAATTTTCCCATAGATTGCTTAAGAAAATTAAGTTGCTTTTTATTTGTACATCTTATATAGTTTCTGTGTGTGCATATCCCATGCATATCTGTGGAAATTTGGGTATAGTTTGCCATTATATTTTGGCACGATTGTAACAAGACTCTATACTTTCAATGCTTTTTGTAAAAAAAATGATAAATATTCAAATTTGAGTCTAATAAGACTTATGATGCCAACACCATGAGAGCATGTCTCTTTCACTAGGGCCTCACAGCATTTATTTATTTATTTATTTATTTATTTATTTATTTATTTATTTATATTTATTTGGTATACTGTGAAAACATAATTTATGCTGTAGATTTTGTGGCAAAAATTGCATATTACCTCTGTTTTCTAGTGCAACATTCAGATCAAGACATTCCTGTAATTAGTTTTGACCCAAAGATATTATGTCATCAGGCAAAACCCAAACAGCGTTCTATTAGCTGAGGAGCATTACAGCACTGAAGAAATCATAAGTGGAGAGAGGGATTTATCAGTCAGGCAGTGTGTGTGCTATCATGGCCACCTGTAGAAGGCCAAGCATGATGACAATATATCTTTAAAACTTTTATGTTAACTTTTTTCCAAGTAAATTTGGCTTGCTTGTCCTTACACAAAAATTTCTTTATACACCGCATATTTATAGAGCATTTACATTGGAAACTTAATAGAATTAAAACATAATCATATAACTCTCAAAAAAAATCTCCCGCAAACTCTGTATCTCGAATACCATAAAGTGCTTCTTTTATTTCTTAAGTTTCTGGACCCCTTAGTTACACCTTTTGGCAGTTACACTTGTGCTTGCATGGAACGCTGATCTTAGACAAGCCTTTATCCATTTACAAAGCCATAGTCACTGAGAAATTAGTTTCACACAAACAGGCAAAGGTACACAAAGTATATTACTCAATCAGGAACACAAGGATGTAAGTCCCTATGTTCCTTTTCCCCCCAAGCCTTGGGCATGGGATCCAGCAGTTCAAAGCCCTGCTTGCCTAAGATGCTTCTACATCAAGGGGAGCAGACAGAGTCAAGGGGAAGGTTTACTTGGTTTTGCAGTAGGCCACCACACACATGATGCCGACCACCAGCAGGGCGATACAGATGCCAGTAATTGTCAGAACCCTCTTCTGGTAGAGTTCCTCCGCTTCTGGAAAGGGGTGAGAACAGATGTCAATGACATTATTTACCATCACCAGGACTTACAACCAAACAGCTGGCATGCATCATGACATTACCTATGTCCACAAGACAATCAACACTTGACAATACTTCACGTTTATACTCATGTCTAAGGTCCAATATGTTCTGTGCTGTACTTTGAGCATAAATAACACAACAAGCTAACTAGGGCATTAAAAGTAAAAATATAATATTCTATGATTCCTCTAATTACCAGCTATTATATATATATGATATTACATGAGAAAAATCATAGACATTCATCACAAAATAACTGATTAAAACTATATCGATGTTATTCTATTTATTAAATATCCTATTAAAAAAAATCTCTTGCAAAGACAACAGGAATCAATGTTGATAAAAAGACCTAAGACTGGCTCCAGGGAGAACCTCCATTCTTCCACCCTCATTCTTCCTTCCTCCGTTCACCACCCGCCACCCCAATCATCTTTCCATTTCCCTTAAGTCATCATTTCATATCCAGTGGTCTTTACAGAGAGACATGTCATACATTTAATAAAATTAAATTCAAAAGGTAATTGCAAATATGAACTTGGCTTGTAGTTAGTAAGTTAAGGCAACAGCCTCACAGTTTAGGGCAAATGAACTAGAAGAAACAGGTACACTGTGGGGGATCAGAGCTCTGTGCCAGAGAAATCCCAACATGGTGGATAGGGCCACAGAAGGGATTTGTTCTTTGGAGGACAATGCTTATTATTCTATTAGTTGAAGGCAGAGAACTAATTTGTATTAAGCCCATCCTTAACCCAAATGATATATACTTTGGACTAGGTTGCATAGTCCCACACCAGGCAGCTTAAATATTCTAAGAGAGTGGGTATGGTACCCTGAGCTCTTAACTACAGGTACCACTCTACTCCAGATACAGTAAGTCTGTGATGTGTGGGAACTTTTCTAGTTAAAAATCAGTGTCTTTGGAGGATGGCTTGGTTGATTTTATACACAGGTGAGTCAGGCTGTTAACAGATGTAGCAGACTTGCTGGGGATGCTGATCGCTTAGTATCTGAGCTTCCAATAATCTGATTTTATTGGATTTGAATATCTTCACATTTGCCCAGCACACTTTGAAACTGGTTTGTTTGCCATTAAAATTAATAAGCTGGGCAAGAATTGGAGAGTGCTGTACAAATGGAATGTCCTTATCTGGGCATCAACAAGAAATACAGAAAGAGTATTTCCATCATATGTTCAGCCTTGGAAGTTATACCATTCTCCTCATTGAGAGGGGGCAGGGTCACAGGAAGTTTTCTTAAACATGAGTAAGTGACTTTTAATTTCTATCAAGTAGAGAATCTTATCATGAAAGAAAACATTTCCTACAAGCCGAGTCCATAGTAATCAAGTCCCAGTTAACAGGTCAAGAACATTGTCAAATCAAATTAATAGAGCACTCGTCATTAAGAGGAGAATAAAAGTCAGTGGGTAGAAGGCTACAACACTGAAAAGATTATACAAAAACAAACAGAAAGAGTTGGAGGTGGAGAGGAAAAGCAAACAAAGTGGATAGACAGACTGAAAGAATGACAAAGAGTGAGAAAGTCAGGTACAAGGGAAAAGGAAGGTTAAAAGTTAGGGAGGCACCCGGAGTCCCTGGCACAGCATGCCTGATATTAAGGGAAGAAAAATAAAGAAAGAAATGAAAACCAGACAAAGGAGATAGATGCTTGGGGTGGGGTGGGGGAGGGAAAGGTGGGTACAAAGTGGGAAGGGGTGTCCCATACAGCATAACTCCTAACCTGGGCTAGCCGTGACGTGGAAGCCATGATTAGAAAAGCGAAGCAGTTGGTGCATTGCGGTGCCACAGTATGCAGGAGACATACAGTTGGTGTCATGGAGTTTTCTGTGTTTGTGTGTGCAACTGTACAAGTCTAATGGTAGCATGAATGGGAGGGGTTGTGTTAATTACTTGTATCTACTGTACACCCCAGACAAAGGCAGGGGTTATGAGGTGTTATTTAGGAATGGATGATGCAGTAGCCTCCCTCTCTGGCATCCTATTGGTGTTTAGTGTGTATGTCTAAGCAGTACAACCATATCTCTGTGCTCGTCCTTCCAAGGATTCCTTCACATAGCACACGTTGGTTATGAAATGGAGTGTTAACATTGTCCTCAACAAATGGCAAGTCCTGCATTCCTTTTGTGGCTAATGTACTTCTTCCTTTAAAACCGATGAGGCCTGGTGTGCATGTAGCTTGGAGGGAGGATGCTTGTCTAGAACATATGAGATCCTGGCTCTGGTTTCACAAATGGATGAGGGGAAAAGGAAGGGGGGTAGAAAAGCCCTTGGTTTTCACGGACACCCTAATACCCTACTCTTTGAAAAGCTAGGGAATAAAAAAGGTGCATAGAGAGGGACTGAAGTGAGCACTGGGGTCATCATGGGTTGCTCCCCAAACTCTCAGGGATTCCTGTAACAAGCTCTGTTTTGGTCATTGTCAACTAGGAAAGAACAGAGTTGGATATGTGGACCACTGGCATCCGCTGATTGGCCTTATTACTGCTTGTCAAGAAAACAATTATTTCAAGGACTAGCGAGCTCAGTAAAGGGCAAAGCAGCTAAAAGAAGCCAGTTTAAGACAGGGAACTCAAACACAGGATTCGATTCCGTGTTCACATCATTACTGACTACAAATTTCTCACCTAAATTTCTTCTTGATATTATTTTTTTCCAGGATTTTCCTGCATCCAGAATATGAGTGTAAAAGGAAAAAAAAAACTTGGACAAACAGCATGTTATTTTAGCCTATTGCTCTTCTCATTGTTTTATTACTATTTTTTTTTTTATTCTTGCATGACTGTATCCACAAGGCAAAAGCAAATCTGAGAGCTAGTACTCAAAATCATCCGAGGTCTGGACTGTCTTCATGAGTGGAAATGTTCCAAGTCTCTCTGGTTTGGCTGGATGGGCCATGGTGAGTCACATCAAACACATTTTCATTCTAATGTGTCCAGGAGAAAAGACAGAGCCATTTCTTGCTCTCTTATTTTTAAATGACCCTTAAGGTCAGGAGTTATTTCAGGATATAATGGACTGGCCTTCTACTCCATGAAGCCTTAGAGATGTGTGGGTAACAGTGTACTGTCCTTAGGAACTGTGAGAACAGATAAGGGGAACACTCACACAGCATAATTATTTGCCTCCACTGTTCAAAAATCAAAAGTGTAAAGTCTAGAGTCAGACTGTAAAGCTCAGAGTGAGGGAAACTGCTAGTCATATAGGTAGTTCTGAGGGTTTGGGTTTTGGTTTCCCACAGGAAAGGCCGGTTCTGAGAGATTTCTGACAGGGGGATATTTCCTGTGAGAAAGAAAGAACCCAAGACGCCCTGATATGTGTGTGTATTGTGTGTGTGTGTGTGTGTGTGTGTGTGTGTGTGAGTTTTAATGCAAAAAAAGGCCCATTCACATACATTTGAGCTTTTTTTTTTATCTATCTGATAGTTTTTTTTCTTAAATTTTTATTTTCTTGGTGTGATGGAAATAGAGCTTCAGTGTAAATGTGAGAGCCGCCTATCGGCTCCTCTGTTGCTATTTATATTTCTGAGTAGATGTGATGTCAGACAAAAGGGGAGAGCAGCCATGGGACATACTTGCTGCATGTCACCATGTCACTATGAACCAAACAGTTTATTAATCAGGACATAGTGTTATACTGACCCAAGACCCTGTTCTAGACTTTCACACAGCTTTCACGAAGAGCCTGGAGACCAGGAAGGTTTCCTGTTCCTTCTGAGATTGGCCCCTTTGTCCGCTTTTCTTTTCTTTTTTCTTTTCTTTTTTCTTTTCTTTTCTTTTCTTTCTTTTCCCTCCCTTCTTTCCTTCCTTCCTTCCTTCCTTCCTTCCTTCCTTCCTTCCTTCCTTCCTTCCTTCCTTCCTTCTTTCCTTCCCTTTTTTCTTCCTTTCTTGAAGGGTCTTTTGGAATATGCCTGTATTTCATCTGCCTTTGGTAGCTTTGTTTATTTAGACAGTTACAGCGTGAAGTTTTCTATATGATGACTTGTCTGGGTCATCTTAACCTTAGTGATGTAATTCCATCAGCACTGGAATGTCTACCTAAAACAACATAATCTGCTTTCTATTTCCTCGCTTCTAAACAAACTAAGTTGACTAGAGTCATACTTGAGCATCTGGGAAGAAATCTGGGTGATTCAACTCCGTACATATCAGACTAGGGCAGTGTGAGACATTTCTATACTGCCACATTAAATAGATGACTTTTGTGTTATATGTGAAACTGCCATTGGATTATTATTTATTTATTTATTTATTTATTTATTTATTTATTTTTAATGTGAGTGTTCTTAAACTGTTTTGTCCTCTGGCCTCTCGTTTGAGTTCTCCTGTAGCCTATGCACCACTCCAACTTACCCCAGCTCTTAAGTAACAACATGGTCCAATCAGTGAGTCACACAATGGAGGGGGAAGGTCTATGACAAGTTGCAGCAGGAGGGAGATCTTAATCTTTAAGTGAAGGTAGTCTTGGAAATTTAAAAACTGCTGCACTCCACAACATTTTCATAAAATAGTCATAGATTGAAGGCAAGAAACCCATGTTATAGCTGTATGATCCCTTCTAAAGAAAAAGGAAATTAGTTAGGAACTGAAAAGGAAGAGCAGGGAGGGCAGAAGAGTTCAGTTCAGAGGCTCTACATTCTGCAGGCTAAAAGGAATGATGATTGGTCCATACCCATAAATTCAATCCCAAGATGCTCTGCCAATGCAGAAAGTTGACAAGGGGAGAAAACAAGAAAGAAAGGAAAAAAGTTTCAGAAAAGAGCAATACACCGCACTCCAAAACAAATTACACATGACTATGACAGCTCTCTGTGCGCGTGCACACGGAACAGGACAGGCTGTAGATGTTAGGGAAGCATGCTCAGGAACACCCGAGCCCACCAGCGAGGTATAAAAGCATCAGCCCCAGGTCTTTAGAAACCTTTGAAAGCTTCTACTGAGGGAGGTTAGATGCTGAACCATTCTTGATTCCTCCTTTGAGAATAGACATGTTTTTACTTATTTTTTTTAATACCAGGAAAAGCATTTGCAATGAAGTGATTTGATTTTAAGTGAAGTTCTAAGGAGGCATCTAGTTGTTGTTTGTCTGTTTATTTGCTTCAACTAAAGGTGCCCAGTGGTGGAGACAGGAGTAGAAGCCAAGCAAACAGTAATTTGGTTTGAAATTTTTATCCTGTTGGATTTACTTTTCCTTGCTGGTGGGCAGTTATACTTTAGTAGGTTTCTTTTTAAAAAGCTGTACCTCCATTATTTAACTTCCTGAGACATTCAATACATACACTGTCCTTTTCATTCACAGAAAGTAATAAAAGCTTCTACCCAGAAAGATAAGGAAGGAAACACGAGAATTGGATAACTGGTGATTGTTTCCCATTATTTTTAATATAATTTTTGTGTCGTATTGGGCAACTTGAAACCTCAGGGTTTTTTTTTTGTTTGTTTGTTTGTTTGCTTGCTTGTTTTTTAGCTGCAAGAAATAAAATAAAGTATGTGGAGATACAGTTTCTGGCGTCTTTAACTTTGATGGGCTGCCCTTTCAAACTATTAGTTAGAGGCAGTTAGCTCAGCAATCCCCAGTTCTGAGCTCCAGTGGGCACAGGTGACAATAGAACCTCCATACTACCCAGGGCAAGGGAGAGGGGAGTGTGAGCCCATGTCCAGCATTTCTGCCACTCTCTGCAAAGCCTTCTACAGGTTAAAATGGGGGAAATGAGGAAGTGAGGGGTTGGGAGAGTGGCAAAGAAAAGTAATCTCCGGGAAGGATATTTTTCCTTTTTTTTTTTTTAACAACAAAAACTGACCAAGTTTTATCATGTAGAAGTATAGGCTTTTCCTCTCTGAGTGCTATGTGGAGAGGAAGAAGGGAGGGAGAGATCAGAAACTGATGTATTTCCTTCTCTTAACAGACTGGGGGGATAAGAAGGCAATCCACTAATACAATGAGCTAGCTCTTAAGCTTGCTGTATGTGGTGGACAGATGTGGCTTTTATCAAAACATGCCAGGGCATGGAGAAAGTAGCCCTTAAAGAAATAAAAAGAGAGGAAGCTTCATCCTGGTTCAGAACCTGCCTCCCCCACTTATCTTTTTAAGTAACTTTTCGTCAGGTTTATCTCTTACTGGCCAAACTGTGACCAACAGTGGAGGACCCAGAATTCTGGGAAACAGACACATCTGGAGATGTATCATGGGACAGTCAATGCATTCAGGGTTAACTTTGAGTAAAAATGTAGGGAAATTCTGAATACTCCTAGGATCTATCAAAACAACAGACTTGAAGTTTTGTAGCCTCTTCAAGAAAGGATGCTTCCCGGATAAAAATATATCTTGAAGATGGAAGGTATGACCTATAAAGACTTTTGATTTGGGTCTAAAGTAACCTGAAATTTTCATGAATTAAGAACCAGAAGGCTTAGGGTTAATTCAGTTGTACAAGATGTTCATAATAACATGATCTATTCAAATACAAATGAATTTCTCTTGCCTCTGTGCAATTTGTCAGACTGACATTTTTTTTATTTGCTTTTTCATATAGACTTTGGAGCATCAATGTGAAAAGAATTTAGTTTCTAAGGAAATCGATAATAAATTTCCTTACTCGTTTCTTTCACAAGGCTATGATCCAATTTTCTTTCTAGAGGCTTCTCTGTTTCTTGCCTTTTCCTCCTAGAAGTCACTAATAATTTAAGGGTTAAAATCAAGACATATCTATAAAAAAAATCCTTTCCAAAGAATTTTTATTCCATGCCTATGTTAACACTTCTAATGATTTGCATTAGTTGCATAGAAAGCTTGGTTAAGTCTTCAATAAAATTAGTAGCATGCCCATGCATACATATTATTGCATTTACAGTTTTATAGGTAAGCCTGGCAGTCTGACTATAATTTCATTTCAAGGGAAGTCATTCATATCAGGCAGCTCCAATTTTGAATAATTCAATGGGAAATTGGTACTTAAAATGGGAATCTCTTTTGGCTGTGAGCCCTAACGAGGAAACAAGCAGAGGACACATGCATCAGTCATTCTAGACCCAGAGCAAAGCTGTTCTCATTTCTATTGTGATTGGTAGCTCCATGTCTTTCCCTTCACTGCTAACAAAAGAAGCAGAAGATGCAAACTTTACATTATGTAAAGAAATTCTTTCTATCTGTTCTACTTAATCTACTGCTGATGTTAGCTCATTTGTGTAACACATGGTTCTATTGAACTTCTGGCTAGCCACTACATTCTTTAAATTCAATTAATAATTCACAAACACAAAGGTTACTGTAAACAATTGGGTTTCCTTTTCTACATGTGATTTCCTGCCAGGACCATAGCAATATAAAAAATTAATTTAAATCCAAGAGTCTCCAGAAACTATTAAATATTGACTCGCTAATCCTTTGTGTGAGGATTTTATAATTACTTGACGAAAACTGATTAACCTGGAGGTTAATTTAAATTTTCAACTGCATTAGAGAGAAGAGCAATAAAATAACTTTCTTTCATCAAATTTATAAAGCCATTGCCATTATGGTTTCTGTTCAAATTTCACGGCATTAGGGATGTTATTTTTCACATCTTTGTGGCTGTATACGCAAATAATCTCAAAGACATGCAGCCTTGATTTTCTGTTTCTCTGGGTTTTCTAAAGAGTTCTACTAATGCCAATTCTAAAAGGGATGAATTTAGTGTTGTGACTCTAATTTCAGACTTACCTTTACAAATGTAGATGCGTTTTTTTTCACACTTTACATTGTTACTGAACTCTTTGAAAGTAATAGTATTTCCATGTGAAGAACACACACAACACAACACAACACAACACATACACACGCACACACACACACAAATACACACTTGTTAGAATTTATGACGATTCTGTCATATGTGGAGTGTTCTTTATTCTAATGTTAGCAAGATACATGTTTGATAAGTACATTATCTTAACAGGTTCTTAAAACATTTAGAAATCAATGAAATCTCCTATAGGCTAATAACCTATGACTCAAAAGGCTAAGTTGACTCGTTTTAAGAATGTGGCTCAACTTCAAAGTGTTCAGTTTTTAAATAATAGATAATGAGAACTATTCTATGTTTAGTTCCTGTGATTTTTCCAGCTTCTCCAGGACAGAATTGCCCCCTGCTACTTTGAGGTACTGAATATGTATTTTCTCTTTTCTTCCACTAAGTCTACACATTGAGTGTGGCCTCGCTGCACACACACACACACCACAGGCTAGTGATTGGAGTATCACAAAGTTAGTAACTTGCAATTACACTATAATGGGTCAGACTTAAGGCTGACTAAAGTGGATATTTTCCTAGGAAATACTATATGTTAGATTTCGAGACAAATGGCTGTCATAAACCATATCACTCTCTTTCATGATTTAAATCAGTGTTCATAGGTCAGTCAATGTTCTATAATGTATGGTGATAAGAATGAATATCTAATCTTAATAATGTCACATTTTAATCACTCTGATGTATTTATTCCCTTTGGAATGTTACCCTTCAGCTGTACATATGGGTTAGTAAGTTTTAAATCTTTGTTTGAGGCAGGAGTGTATCCTCTCCTTAAAATTCATGTTATGTTCTCTAAGACAGCGGCCCTATAAACAAACAATTACAAGTGACTTCTTGCGGAAGATCCTGTAGATTTTCTTTCGGCATTCACTGTTAACTGAACATGGAGCCACAAAATGTATTTCCCTGCCTTTCTATCTTCTATCAAAGACACAAACTGAGAGCATCAGACACAGAGATTAGAAAATGAACTCTGGGCAAGATGATTCTGGAAAATGGTGTCTGATTGGAAACGCTTGCTCCTCCAGACATGTGGCATTAATAACAGAGCCATTATGTACTGCCCTCATCACCGAGCTTCCTATCGGTTCCTGTTAAATCGAGTTAAACGTAAATGCTAATTTCCTGCATGCCTTCCAAAAGTGTCACTGAATGCTTACTAAAGGATTTATTTAAGGAGCTCCAATTCTGGACTCCAGACACAGTGGCTATTTTTTAAAATAATCTCAAATAAAAGGGAAAATGGCTAAAGAGTGAATGAGAACATTTTTGGTGGTTATTAATGGCAGAGTAAACTAAGCTATTGCTCTGAGAAATATTTAGTTCTTTAATGCTTGCCTTTATCTAGTGAGCCAACCTTCCTTTCAAAGTATAACATATCTCTCGCTATCTGACACCTTACATAGAATAGCTTAACTCTCTTCAGTCAATTCTAAAACATGTGTTTCTACCTATATTATCACACAAGCTTGCTAAATCTATGCTATTTGAATACAAACACATAAAAAAGTGCCTTTCATTCCTTAAACAAAATTCTATCTTCCTTCTTATATCTACCTTCCATCCTATCTAGTTAAAAAAATATCATCTATAGATATGGACAGAAAATTCATGTCAGATAAATGCTTATCATTTAAATACTTGTTAATATAGTGATTATATTTCAAAATTTAGCAATGCCAATTTGCCAGTTTTTAACAAGGGAATATTATGGCTTATGGAAAAATCTTTGAGAGCATAGTCTATACAGGTGTATAAATATCACCTCACTAAATACATGACTATTATTCTGATAACATCTATGACTATTGTCCTGATAACATCTAGGAATTTTTCACTTTTCTGAGTCAAGGTCTCACTATGTAGCTCTGACTGGCATCTAATTCACAGAGCCTGTCAAGCCTCTGCCTCCCAGTGTTGGCACCTATGACTATTGGCAGAACTCTATTTGTCTTATGGATCAGAACCAGGGACAAATCCCTCATCTTTTTGAACATCTAAATGACCAGTTTCTGTGATCATTTTTAATGTTTTAAGAATTTAAACTGCAGTGAGTGGTGTAAAATATTTCTGATAATAGGACTGACAAACACAGCCTGGTGCTAACATTTGTACATAAGGATCTAGTGGAACACACATGAGCGCATCAGTTCCCTCCTAGTCTATGACTGTCTTCAAGCTACAAGGATGGGGTTTAGCTTTGACATCATCACCGCAAACCTTAAAATAGTTACCATCTGAACCTTTCTAGGAAAAAGGTACTAACTCACAATCTAAATGGTTAAGTGAGATATAAACAAATATGATCTTCTCAGTGTTTCAGAACAGGAACACCATCATCCCCATTCATAGGAGAAGGGGAAACATCTAGTTTAGTTACCCAGGCAATTATCTACAATGTGGAGTGAGAAGTTGAGGGATGATGCTTAAAACATTGTGATCTCACAGGCATCTGCGGAACTTGTCAGTTCCACATTAAACATTTACATGTTTACTCTAGATTTGGATTATTATATTTTGAAATATTAGTTTTCAGAAATAATAGCTTTTTTCCTCTTAAGATTACCTTTTGCAATAACATGAATATTAAGACACATTAAGGGAACAGTGATTATCTGAACTCATTTTGAATTACCTATTTCCCGAGAAACATAAATACAAGCCTGGAAATTTCCTTTGCTGGGAAATATTTGCTTTTAATTTTCCTACCTAGTAGTGCCGTGTTTGTATGTCTTTATGCCTGCATGTGAACTTTGCTTAATGAAGAAAAACATCTGAAATCCTTTTGTGATGTTTATTTGTTATAAATAACACACTGAGCCGAAATTAACTTACCATCATTTCAAGTGTATAGCGGTTACAGTCTGACAACAGCCTTTTCAGGATGTTGACACTAGATACAGAAGATCAGTTCTGTTCGGTGGAATGATTTTATTTTATCAATACAAGTGCGAGTTTGAAATGCCTTTATTTATTTCACTCTTGGAGGTTGACTATCAATTTGCGTCACATTAGGCAGTACCAATTCCAGAAACATTTGGAGCCTCACACACCTATTAGTAACTCAGAGCCGACTAGTCACAAACAGAGAAGTAACACAGTGGCTTTGTTAATGTTCTCATGCGACAGGCAGAGGCAGTCAATATTAGACCTGGTAGAATGCGCTAGCTCTAGGTGACTCTGAGGGGAGATGTAGCAACAAGAAAGCAGCACCGACTGAGCATGCTCCTATTCAGGCAGAGACAGAAAGGGAGTGGACGTACTGTAGAAGCTGGCCATTACGTAGTTTTGGCAACGATCACCAGTAAACTCATTTGGGCACCTGAGAGAAGAAACAAAAAAAACAATGGTAGAAAAAACAGAGAAAAAGAGAAGAGGTGAATATTTGCTAGAGAGAAGCTCCTGCAGTATCACTGACAGAACTTGGTGAGTTCACGCTCAGGAACCAGCCCTGCGTCCTAATCGTGGCTTTCGCACTCTGACCTTTACCCAGCACTTAAACATTTGGACAGTGCGATTCTGGGATCCTACATGACTGCTTTAAATCCAAAGCAGTCCCAAAACAGATGCTATGGATGTTTTATTCCTCTGGTCAAAGAAATTGGTAGGAAATGGTTTGGGCTTGGTTCACGGCTATGACTTCCACAGGCCAACCTGACTGGCCATTCTTTCAGCTTTTAACCATGGAATCTAACTGAAAGACACACAACCGAGACTCCAGTGAATGGGTTTACGCCCCGAGTGGAAAAGCCATAATTAGAACAAAGGGTATCAGTTACAGCTGAGCGGTAAAAGCACCAAGTGGTTGCGATTGTTGCTGCAGTTTGGGGAAGAAAGCAGATTTCAGATTATTTGAACATACTTTCTTGGGTTTGGACTTTCATGGGCACATTCTCAGTACATCTTGCTCCAGTGAATCCAGGTTGGCACCTAGAGGGCAAAAACGTGATAAGCAATCGAACGCTCAAGACACTGAACTTTCAGCTTGGGACCTTTCCTCCCATGGGATATGGAGTCCTAAAAATGACCCAGTGCTGAACACAGAAAAGAAAAGACAGGACACCGAGAAACCCAGCCCGATCAAACTGCGGCTTACGGACTTTGGTTGCTTTCTTCAGTTTTCAGAAGATTAGTTATAGAACTTTAACTAGAGAGAGACTCTGAGCTGAATGGGTGGCGAGGCAGGAAGGTGGAGTTTGCATCCTGCTTAGCCCCGAGTGCTGAGCTCACCAAGTTAAAACACTGGAGTTGACATTAGCATCTGTGGTTTTCCCTACTTCACTAGCAAAAGGCCTTTTATCTTATTATGTATGCACTGAGTTTTCTACTTATTTTATTGCAGAGGTACTGAGGTTTCTACTCATTTCATAGCTGTTTGCTAAACTGTAAGTTGAAACATTTAAACAAAATAAGATACTTATTCTCTCATGGTTAGCAATGAGGAAGAGCCCATTTCTATTTCTTTTTCCCCCACTAAGATATTACAAATTCAGCCTTATTTTTACTACTGCCGAAGGAAACAGTAGAATTTTATTGGTAGAATTTCATTCATCCAACCACCTCCATTAAAAGAAAAACACAATTTTGGAATTAAAAGTTACTCTTATACAGAAGTAGATAATGACATGGACCTTTTACATTTATGGCTGACTATTCTGAATTTTGTAAAAAGTTTTATTTTATTTGCTCTTATCAATTTACTTGTAGATATGTAAGACTCTTGATATAATTTTGTTCTTAGGGCAATACAGTGGGGTCATGTTTAGACATGAAAGTCCTATACTGTTCTTGCTGCTTTTTAATCTGGTAGCTAAAGCATTTTAGATTAGGCTTGATTTACCTAATATCATGTTCTAATAGGCAGGTACTGAAGAGTTCTACAGAGCAAATATACCCAGAGGTAAAAATTCATAACTGAATGTTCAACACTCATAACCACATATCTCATCCTAGCTGGTATAAAACTACCCATCTAACATAATTTGCTCTGCCAATACTTTATGACTTAGTGTTGTTTATTTAAGTCTTTTGTCTCTAGAGTAAGTAAGACAGAACACTATCATTTTGGTATTAAATATATGAATAAATCTACTAGTTATACTAACTTAAAAGTGATCTCTTTAACTTTCCGGCCAAAATCAACAGGAAAAAAAAATGCTATTCAAGTAATGTGATAGCTAAAATTCTTTTATTGCATAATGATATAAAAATTCTAGCAGTTCCAGAACTCTTATCAGGAGAGTACTTTGTACTGTATCACTGTGATCATTAAGAATAACATCAACAGGGCCGGAGAGATGGATCAGCGGTTAAGAATGCACGGTGTTCTTGCATAGGACTCAAATTCAGTTCCCAGCAGCCACATCTGGAGGCTTAACTGGCAGCAGCTCCGGCTCCGGAGAATCGTACGCACGCCCTCTTCTGACCTCCATGGGTAACTGCACTCATGTGCACATTTCCCCCATCATACATATACATAATTATAAAAATAAATCTTTTTAAAAAGATTATATATATATATATATATATATATATATATATATGTAAAATACTTGGACACTCTGATTATTTTTGCTGATAATCCTTTGTTGGAAGAATTAGAGAAAGATCTACAATATACAAAAACTGACCTCAAGGTAGGGATATTTCTACAAAGCTGTCGTTGTACATGCTTTAATAAGAATGCCTAGATAGATATTTTTAAAAAAATAACTTCATGTAGCTTATTTTACCAAATCCCTTCTGAAGAGAACAAATTTTTATTTGTTCATGAAATCAGGACCCTAATCTCACAAGACATTTCGTTCCAGAATTACATATCCATTCCACAGTGACCATCTCATTCTACCTGTTTGTTTTGATAAAAATTAAAATTTCATATCGAGTATATAATAATTTATTTGATCTATTGAGTAATCATAATTTATTTGTTTTCTATAATTAATATGGAACCATATGAATTTTCTTGTGTCTGTGTGTGAGAGAGATAGAGACAAGCAGAGACAGAGAGACAGACAGATGGGGGTGGAAGAGAGACAGCTGAGGTAAGACTTGCTCATACTGCTCATATTTAAAGGTTATGTCATGAATAAATAGCTAAGGAGTCAAGAGTTACTTGAAAGAAGGAAGGTATTTATTAGGAAATTATGATTTCGTCATGTTAAATGCCAGACTCATGATTAAAGGGCATGTGTCAAGAATAAAAATGGGGTTAAGAACACTCTTCTATCCATTGTATGATCACTACGAACTGCATGTGTATCGTAGGAGATTACCATTGTGGGATGTTGTGTTATCTGTTATGTAATCATACAAAATATATGGGTCTAATAACACTGTAACATGAGGATCTTTGTTCTAGATACAGCTACTGCTAATGGAATGAAGATACAGCTTTTCTTTATTTGTCCATCCCTCTCCCATTGGCTAACTCCACCTCCTTTCTCTGCAAGGGATTCCTTCTCTGGTTCTTTCATTTTGCTTTGTTCCATGCCTGGTCTAGACCTCTTTAACTGTGTGTGTGATGGATGTGAATTGTGGTCCTATTGTACCATTCTGTATCTCTGCTGTCTAACCCAGAGCCTGGATAATGTCTAATTCTAAATGCAATGTCTGATACAGAACTGAATACCTAAAATTTCCACAAGTAAACTGATTTGTCAAGACAAGTTCATCTTAATATCTATTTTTTATCTTTACAGTTTAAAATAGAATTTCCTCTGTGGACTACCAAATAAGTTTTAATAAGAATTACCAGTACCTGTGGATTTCCTCTCCCAAGAAGAAACCTTTAACACTGTTTGCCATGTTAAAGAGAAAGGGCTATGATTATTTATGAGAAAGCTTATTACCTAACAGTTAGATTTTGTTATTTAAATACCAGTTTACCTAGGATTCAATAAAACAGAACTGTGTTTTACTGACTTTTGTCTTATAGTAGTAACAAAAATACTAAAATTTCTCAAAATTACATTAGCCTTAAAATGATACTTATTATAAAACTATATGTTTATAATTTTACATAGTGCCTAATGAAATCATTTCATTTTTATGTCTGTGTTAAGATAAATTCTAAGGAATGCCCAGAGTTGCTTTAGCCCAGAGTCAGGTACAATTAATATAGTCTTGTCCTTACATGTGAGGTCCAAGGCTTTACTTTGGTTAAAAGGTACATGAATGTTCTTTTAGCCAATTAGCAATCCCTAACAATTTTCTATAATCTTTCCAACCAGGGGCAATAGCAATTATAATTCACTCATTTAATTAAATTTATAAACATAGTTGAATCCTTAGGAAAAATAATTTAATAGTGATAATACTCCATGAATGATCTGATACATTTACTAAGGATTCATTCATAGATGTGTGTGTTTTGAGAATCAGTTTATGAACACTCTAGACATACTCAAAGATATTTACAAATTCCCAACAAAGATCTGGTTCTATAGGGTTGGCCAATTTTATAAACTATTTATCAGTTACAGTCAACTTGTAAGCCGTCTTTAGACATTTTCCTTCCTTTGTTTCCTGGTTTCATCTTTGTCCCTGGAGAACAGTGGAGGGAAGAAAGCCGACAGCCAGTATTCTTCTACTCATTAGTCATCATTCCACAATGAAACATTTGGCCAGTATTGAAAATACCCTGTCAGGAAGAATATCACATCTTTCTATTCTTCTTCAATACTAACTGTGGCATTTCATTTTATACTGTAAAACATGGGAACTTATCTTCTTGGTGTTGATATTTACAAATATCAAGTCATGAAAATGTCAACAAACTCATTCTGGGCAATAGTGACTCGTTCTGCATGTTGTCAAAGCTTCCTGCTGTTACTCTGGAAACCTGAGTTGCCCATGGATGCAGAGCTCAGACTTCTGGGTTGCTTTGTTAGAGTATCACATTGCAAACACAGACTTTGTTCACCCTGTAGCTGGCTTGGTATTCCATCCAGAGCTCGCCTACTCACTGGCTGAATATCTGCATTGTAGATTATATTTTTTCCCAAATGTATTGTTACTATTAGTCTGCATTTTTTAAAGATGAATCTTATTCTGTTATCAGCCTTTAAGTGAAAATACTTAAGGCTTATATGTGTTTTTCTAATTTGTGTTTTAGTGTCCTTTACAGTATCATCTGCAAAAGCCATTTGTTTCCTCAAGAGGATGCCCTCCTTAACATCATTAAAGAAAATACTAAATAGAAAATGTTCCAATCATGTTTCCTTCAGATCTAGCATATACCTCCCATTACTGGTCAGCTGGTATGTGCCTTTTCCTTGTTTTATTATGATCCTGGGACTAACTTCCAATCCATGAGATAAC